GTGAACCCCCGCATCCTGTAGGTCAGCACCACTCACCAAGTTCGTAGAGAACGAGGGGAGGTAAAGACCAGACAGGGTGCCAGAGGGGGCCGCCGGACACGGGAGGACAGTGGAGAAGTGAGCAAGGACAGGACCCCCAGAGGGGTCTGCCAGAGAGACTGCAACTGGCGGACCAAGCGGCGTGAGTGTGGTGCCGTCTCGAAAGAAGGAGCGAGAAGCCCCCGAGTCAAGGGTGAAGGTGTGGGAGGCCGAAGCCGACGCGGTACCTGAGTGAGCAGACTCACCAGCACCTGAGGAAGCAGATGCACTGTCACCTAGAGCAACAGCCTCGCTAGCACCTAGAGCAGCAGCCTCACCAGTACCTAGAGCAGCAGTCTCAATGCCCGGGTCAGGCGGAAAACACCGGTAACAGTCACCCTCATCACTAATAGTCACAATATACATGGCAGCAAGAATAGCATCAAAGTCAAGGTCAAAGATAGCTACTCCCGCCCCAGACAGCTCGCCCCAGCGAGGGATCTCAGTGGCCTCAGGGAACTGGTGACGCCAAGCGTCCGTCAGGCGGCCAAAGCAGCGCTGGGTGGAGTGCGCACCCCCGCACTGCTCACCCGCGCGGTCGCCGGTGCGTAGGACGTAGGTGCACGGACCAGTACCCCCACCCCGCTGGCGTGCAGCGTACCACTCACGGAGCTGCTGAGGGGGGGGGATGTTACGAGTGCGCTGGTGCTGCTGGCGCTGACCACCACCGGAGCCGACCCTCTGCGCAGCGCCACCCCGACCAGCTCCGCGTCCTCCGCCGCCGCCTCCTCCTCCGCCGCCACCTCCGCCACCTCCGCCCCCACCGCCACCGCCGCCTCCGCCTCCGCCTCCACTACCGCCACCGACACCTCCACCCCCGCCACCACTCCCACCACCACCCCCACCCCCTCCACAGCCGCCACCGCCACCTCCGCCACCCCCGCCAGCCCCTCGAGCGCCCTTGCCCCCCGTGCCCTTGCCGGTGCGGCGTCTCCCGCTCGGGGCAGACGCAGCGCCGACCGACTCGAGACCAACGAGGTCGGCCGCAGCAGCAAAGGCAATAGAGGGCAAAAGGGGGGAGGGGGAACACCCCTCAAAGACGGGGGTGCGAGGGTCACCACAAGAGGCTCCTACAGCGACTATGCTCTTCTCTGCCGCTAGGAGGGCCTTCTCGAGGAGGTCAATGGTAAGAGTGGTGGGGCAAACTGAGAGGAAGTGGTCCCTGACTAAGCGAAGGGAGTCAGGGAGCCGGGTGACTATGTAGTAGAGGGTGATGTACATGGGGGGGGGGGGGGGGGGTCTTGGCGCAGAACTCAGCAGGAAGCGCAGCGCGGTAGCGAGTGTCACTAGTGCGGAGGTGCGTAATGAGGTCAGTGACTGTGGGAAAGGCAGCAAGGTCAGGGAAGAGGTACGGTAGCATGAGGCGGCTCAGTGCAGCAGTGGCAGGGGAGGAGTAGCGTGCAACTACAGCGTCGTACAAGGTCTGAGCACTCTTGTACTGGCTAAAGTGCGCACGCTCAGAGGTAGGCAGGTGGCGACGCACAGCAAGACGTGCAGCAGCATTGCGTGTGGCCCAATGTGAGCGAACAATGGCGTCAGCATCAATAGCAGGGGCAGGAGAGGCACTAGAAGTGAGGTCAAAGAGGGAGAGACCGTCTGCCCTATCGCACTGTAGGAAAAACTGCAGGTCATCTACCCAGACGTCAAAGTCAATGGCCCGACCCTCAGCGTCAAAAGCGAGGACACTAGGGGTAGCCATGACAGCAGTAGACTAGCAGCGCGAACAGTAGGGTAAGGGCAGTGCAGTGATAGAGGCGCTGCTCTTACCGGACAGGGCGGCTCGGGCGGCTCGGCGGCTCGGCAGGAAATGCAGCTCGGCGACTCGGCGGCTCTGGCGGCTCGGGCAACTCGGTGGTACGGCGGCTCGGCAGTAACCGCGGCTCGGCGGCTCGGTGGTACGGCGGCTCGGCAGCTCGGCGACCCGGCGGCTCGGGCGGCTCAGGTGGCGCGGCGGCTCGGGCGGCTCAGGTGGCTCGGGCGGCTCGGCAGTAGCTCGGCGGCGTCGGCGGCTCGGTGGTGACGGCGGGGCCGCGTGGGGACGGCGGCGGGGCCGGTAGAGACGGCGCCGGGGCCGGTAGAGGCGGCGCCGGGGCCAGTAGAGACGGCGGCGGGGCCGGTAGAGGCGGCGCCGGGGCTGGGAAGGGTAGCGCCGGGGCCGCAGGGTAGGCGACGGGGCCAGCAGGGTAGGCGACGGGGCCAGTAGAGGCGGCGCCGGGGCCGGGAAGGGCGGCGTCGGGGCCGGGAAGGGCGGCGCCGGGGCCGCAGGGGTTGGCGACGGGGCCGCTAGGGCGGCTAGGAAGGGGGTCGCGAGGGCGGCTTGAAGAGGCCGCTAGGGCGGCACGAAAGGGCCGCGAGGGCGGCGCGAACGGGCCGCGAGGGCGGCGCGACGCGACGGAGCCTCGAGGGCGGCGGATCGGGGCCGCGAGGGCGGCGCTACGCGGCCGCTAGGGCGGCGCGACGTGACGGGGCCGCGAGGGCGACGCGACGGGGCCGCAAGCTTGACGCGACGGGGCCGCTAAGGCGGCGCGACAGGGTCGAAAGAGGGGAGCGCGAGTCGGGCAGAGTAGAGCGCGCTCCGGGCAGGAAAAAAAAGGTGGTGGGCCCTAGGAACAGTTCCCACAGGGGAACCTGCTCGATACCATGAGAAAATGAACGAGAATGGATTGACTAAGGGAAAGTTGGGTACAAGTACAAACCCTAGAAAGTCGTACCCCATATGTGCTACCCCACTATAGCCTACAACAGCTATGACATTTGAATGTGACAGCTGCAGCAGTGGGAGACAAAGGAGGAGGAGGAGCAGGGGAGACCACACACCCGCCACCCGCACGCGACCCCCTCAGGTCGCCTCGACTGGCAACGGGAAAAGAGGGGGGGGCGGTGCACGTGCCCCTGGTGCGCTGCGACAGGCGACGGAGCATGGCCGGGGCGGGGCCTGGGCAGGGTCAAGGCAGGGCCGAAATGGGTGGCGACGAGGCCGCAAAGGGGCCGCGAGGGGCCTGGAAGGGCGGCGACGAGCCGCTAGGGGCGGCGACGGGGCCGCGAGGGGGGCTGCGAGGGGCCTGAAAGGTCGGCGACGGGGCCGTTAGGGGCGGCGACGGGGCCGCTAGGGGCGGGGACGGGGCCGCTGGAGGCGGCGTTGGGGCCGATAGGGGCGGCGACGGGGCCGCGAAGGGGCCGCGAGGGGCCTGGAAGGGCGGAGACGGGCCGCTAGGGGCGGCAACGGGGCCGCAAAGGGGCCGCGAGGGGCCTGGAAGGGCGGCAACGGGGCCGCTAGGGGCGGCGACGGGGCCGCGAAGGTGCCTCGAGGGGCCGAGAAGGGCGGCGACGGGGCCGCTAGGGGTGGCGACGGGGCCGCTAAGGGTCGCGCGAGGGGCCGTGAGAGGGGCCTCTAGGAGGGCTCAACAAGAGGGCGGCCGACGGGAAGAAAAAATCCGTCGCACGCCACGGGGCGTGCAATACACAGAGTAGCAGCGGAAGCAGTTGGGTGGGCCCACAGGCCAGGAGCGTAGATGCTCTGATAGCATGTGAAGAATGAGGAATGAAGAATGGAGGGGGGTTGCACTAGCAGCAGTTGGCATAGATATAGGAAACCCTAATCGGGTTGTACTCGCTATAGAGTACCCCACTGCAGGCTAGACAATTATAACATTCTGACAGTGAATCTAGCGAGTGAATCTAGCAACTGAATCTAGCGAGTGAATCTTTCAAGTAAATCTAGTGAGGGAATTCGGCAAGTGAATCAATCACGTGATGTTAGAAGTACAAATAGCGAGTGGACCTAGCAAGTGAATCTAGTATGTGAATTTAGCAAGTGAATCAAGCACGTGAATCTAGTAAGTAAATATAGGAAGTGAATCTAACATGTCAATTTAGCATGTGAGTATTGCACCATTCTTCAATATCACCACCACGCCTCTAGCCACGGTTCGTGTCTGCTCAGCCCTTCAATCTCCTCTCACTCACCTATCCAACCTGGTCTCCATCCCTCCTCATTCTCCCCTTCTATCTTTCCGGTCGCCCTCCTCTACGATCTTTCGGTCTCCCCACCATGGCCATCAGGTCTCTTGCCTTCAACGAGCTGTATGGGAGCATACCGAGCACTCTCACCAAGCTCACACAGCTTGTATACTTGTACGACCCACATACTATCTCAATCCTTTCCGCATGCTCTGGCATTCTCCCTCTCGTACGCACTCAACAAGTGACGCACCCATGCTCGCTGTTGTCTCAAAATCATGCTGTGAGCGAGCCAACAGCAGCACCAGCCGTTCCATGCATGCTCTCTAGTCACAAAGATTAGGAAAACAAAAACAGTTATGAGCAGAGAGGTGGAAGTCTTCAAGTGAGGGAAATGAACACTGAATACTACCCAAACCTAAACGGAATATATATCTCCTTCAATGTGCACCAAAAGGAAATCAGTTGACTGGTTCTGAGACGTGCCAATTAAGCATTCTGTATAGTTCTTTTGTGGATATAGACTTAATCATCACCACGTGAATACCATGCTTTCGCCCTTAATATTTTCCAGCCTCGACATCCTTTGGGTTGCTTCCTCATCGTCTCTCTTCACCTCCTACTTCCACCCCACCATTTCCTGATATGCCTGGTCTTCCTCTTCATGTCAATGCGTCGATTCGATTATATGGATTTTGCCTACCTCCTCCTCATCCACCTCCTGTTCCCCCTCTGCTCCGCTTCTCGTACTCCTTGTTCTCCCTTTTCTGCCTTCCCGTGCCCGCCCTCTTCTACTCCCTATCCATACTCCCATGCTACTCAACAACCCCTCACACTTTCGCTCCTTTAACTCCAGTTTCCGAAGTCTGGGTGCACTGAGGTGATCCCCATGCATCCTTCTCCCGGCACCTGCCCCTCCTCCCTACAGCGACCTCTCCCACAACTACCTCACAGGTCCTGCAATGACGCCTCTTACTACACGTACCCTGGATCTCTCCAGCAACTTCCTCTCGGTCCCTCTGCCCGACGGGGCATGCAAGCCTCTCTCTTTTGATGCCAATTGCTTCACGCTGCCGCTTGGCTGCACCTTGGTCACGCAGCGGCAGGAGGCAGCATGCAATGCATTCTGTGGCGTCTCCCCTGCTGTTGGTGCTGCTGCTGCGTGTGGTGGACATGGGGTGTGCTATCCAGAGGGGGCTAGCTTGGCACCCACATGTCTGTGTGATGTGGGATTCGTGCAGTTTGGAGAGATCAGCTGCGTTCCTCAAGGTAGGGTCCGCCACTTGAAATCGATGAAGCAGGTGGGACTTCTAGCAGGTTGTTTAGATGGAAGCTTGTTTGACATTTGTTGGTTTCATATGCCTTGAATCTCATCTCACGATCTCATACCTCCATATCCCACTCTTGTCCGTCCGTTTGTTTCATGTGTGCAGGCCAAAACAGGAGTTACTCAAGCAGCCAGCCGATTCTCCTCCCAGCATCTGTGCTCACCAAGGGGACGCAGCAAGAGACGAGAGGGAGCTTCACCGCAGCGCCGATGACGCTGTTTGTGTACGAGGCAGGGCAGGCGGCGTTGGGGTGTGGGCTGGAGCTCGCCTTCCACGCCAACTTCACCTTCTCCCTCTCACCTCAATCTGGCCGCGTGGGCTCCAAAGGTTTTGCCTTTGTCGTCTCGGCGACGGACCACGTGGGGAGCGGCGGCGGTGTGGGGTATGGTGGAATGAACAAACGGAGTGTGGTGGTTGAGTTCGACACTCGGCAGGACAAGCAGCACGGGGACATGAGCAGCCAGCATGTGGGGCTGAACATTCGAGGCGAGGACAAGTCCATAGCTGCTGTGAGGTCACCGTTCCCCTTGAGCAACAGGAAGGCATACACGGCGTAGGTGGACTACGAGCCGGGTGACCCCGGCACCATCCAGGTCTTCCTGGCTGACTCGCAGGAGAAGCCACAGCAGGCACTGCTGGAGAGGAGGCTGGCGCTATGTGAGGTGCTGCAGGGTGCAGCCGAGCAGCCCGCCTTCTTCTTTGGCTTCGTGACGTCCACCACTGTGAAGCCGTTTAAGCGGCACGTCATTCTTGAATCTGCAGTGGACACAGGTAAGCAGTGTGCACTGCTAGGGGGATGAGCACGGAATGGTGAGTAGCACTGAAGCATTTGAACTAGCAACCAGTCTGGAGGATGTGAAGGAGAAGGCAACGAGGCTATGGGAGTGGATGGTGATCATGATTGTTTGTGCTGGTGATGATGAGGTTAGTGCTGGTAATGTACTGATGAGTGTAGTGCTGGTAATGATGAGGTTAGCGCTGGTAATGATGAGGGTAGTGCTGGTAATGATGAGGGTAGTGCTGGTAATGATGAGGGTGTGAAGAAATGAGGGATGAATGCACTGGCAAACAGGTGGGTACAAGTAGGAAAACCTAAAAGTGTTGTACCCCATATTGTCTACCCAACTACAGCCTACACACACTATAGCATATAAGTTTGACACACCCCCATAGGCTAAGTGGGGGAGAATAGGAGGTCACAAGACCAGTCAAGCAAAGCAAAGCACGCTCAGGGTGGATCACAACGTCACCACATATTCCGAGCACAAGAGCAAGGCCAAAAGGCCAGTTCACATGAAAGATCATATATAAAGGTAAACAAGCAAGTGCAGGTATAGAAAGATCACAGTACAAGCAAGGTCAAAAAGGGAGCAAGTGAGGCCAAGTAGGCACAAGACCTAGCATCGTACAGAAGCGCTGATGATCACAAGGCGGAAGTGCCTTGGTAAAGATATCAGCAGTGTTGGCCTCAGAGGCCACGTAAGCAAGGCGTAGCTCACCACGCTGCTGCAGCTCACGAGCAAGGAAGTAACGAAGAGCAATGTGCTTCGTTCTGTGCTCCAGTTCGTGCTCCCGACACAAGGCCAGCATGGCCTTGTTGTCTACCTACAGAACTGGACGAGAACGAGGCGGCTCTCCTAGGTGAGTCAGCATGTAGGTGAGCCAGCGTAGCTCCTGTGCAGTTATGGCTCCCGCGTAGATCTCAGCCTCACAGCTAGAGCCAAGAACAGAAGACAAGCGGGTAGACCGCCACGAAACAAAGCCGGAGCCAAGGCTGAAGGTGTAACCGTGCGACGAACCCTGCGTAGCCTGGTCGTCAGCCCAAGAAGCGTCTGCGTGACCTGTGAGGACCACTAAATGTCGCCCTCCAAGCACTAGCCCCATGCCCGACGTACTGCATAAGTAGCGCAACACCCTCTTCGCTGCAGCCATGTGCTCTGGTCGGTGTCTCCCAGGAGCAACATAGCGTGCCAAGATGCTAAGAGGGTATGCTAGGTCAGGTCGTGTGCAGGTCATCAGGTACATGAGGCAGCCAACAAGCTCTGGGTACGGGCCACTCGGCTCTACGGACTCATCTGAAGGCAGAGCTGAGAGCGAGTGGCGAGTAGACAGAGGAGTGGCGTGAGGCGAGGAGTACGTGAAGTCAAACCGCTGAAGGACCTGCTGCACCATGTGTGGCTGAGTCAAGGTAATGGTGCGATGTACTCCGGCGCGGGTGATATGCAAGCCAAGGTAGCTGCGCAATTCACCCAAGTCTGTGCACGTGTGTCTCTTCTGCAGCTCCGACTTCACGTGGGCGAGTCCAGCAGTGTCAGGTAAGGCAAAGACCAAGTCTTCGACGTACACAGGGATGTAGAACGACGGCAAAGAGGTGTCGTTGCGCAGAAACAGCGGCGGGTCGGCAGTAGAAGGAGCAAACCCAAGAGCCGCAAGTGTAGTCCTCAGTGTGTCGTGCCACTCACGGGGCGCCTGGCGGAGACCGTAGACTGGCCGTCGGAGGCTCCACTGGGTACCAGGAGGAAACGACCCAGTGAAGCCAGGTGGGCGGCGCAGCCAGATCTCCTCGTGCAGGCTGCCCTGCAGGAAAGCTGTGCCGAAGTCAAGAGAGTGAAGCTCGTAGTCGCGCTGAGCGGCTATGTGCAGCAACACCCGAAGAGTGGTCATCTTTGGGGTGGGAGAGAAGGTCTGAAAGTAGTCAACTCACTGCCGCTGATTGAAGCCTCGAGCCACGTAACGCGCCTTGAAGACAGGCGGAGAACCCGGCGGTCGCTTCACCCTGAAAATCCACATGCCACTGACGATGTTCGCCCCAGGTGGGGGAACCTTGTCGACGTAGGTGCCTGTGGACTTCCAGGAAGCCATCTCTGCGTCCATGGCTGACTGCCACTGTGAGAAGTAGGGACCCTTGATCGCCTCAGCGTACGATCGAGGAGTCGAGATGAGGCAAAGCAGCAGCAAAACACTAGAACTCCTCCTGCCTGTCCTCAAGGACGTCCGTGCTAAGAGCACACTCACCCCTGACAGACGGAGGACAGACAGACTCAGACTCAGCAACAAAACTAGCACCATAGTCTAGACGACAGCGAGCAGCAAAGTCGACAAGCTCAGCAACCAAGGCAGACGCAGCAGTGGACCCAAAGGAAGGGTCAATGACAACAAAAGCGAGGAGACGCGTGATAGTAGGACTGGCAGCACGAAGAGAGTCAGACTCCGGGTCAGCAAGAACAGGAAGAGAGGACTCTGGAGGAGACGGCAACGGGACACGCAGAGGAGCAGTGGAAGGACGCAGTGCCATCTGGTGTGTGCCTGGGACCGCAGGAGGACGCGGACGCGGAACACGACTACTAATGCGAGCAGCACGAACAAGCGACGCAGGACGAGACGCAGGCTCACGATGCTCAGCAAGACCTCTAGTAGGACCAGTGTAGGGAGAAGGAGCAAGCAGGGGGTTGGCGGGCTGTAACTGTGACTACGAGTGGAAAGGCGGTGGACACTTGAAGGGAGGAGCAGGACCAGTAGAAGGCGGAAGGCCAAGAACCTGCTAAAGGAGCGGAACGAAGTACGCCCGCGGCCGCGCAGCGCCTCCAGAAACAGCAGGGACAGCACCAGTACCCCCAGCGGCAGCACCAGCGCCAGCAGCACCTCCAGCTCCAGCAGCGCCAACTCCAGCACCCTCAGAAGTACCAGCGCCAACACCCCCAGTACCTCCAGCTCCAGCAGCTCCAGCAGCACCTACTCCAGCAGGACCGCCAGCTCTAGCACCGATAGTAGCTCCAGCACTATGAGCACCTCCAGGCCTAGCAGCTCCAGTCCCCCCAGTAGTACCAGCAGCTCCAGTACCTCCAGCAACACCAACTTTAGCAGCCCCAGCAGCACCTCCAGTCCCAAGAGCTCCAGTACCGCCAGTACGAGCACCTCCAGGACCAGTGGCTCCAGTACCTCTAGTGCCGACCCCAGGGTCTGCAGCAATAGTAGCACCTCCAGCTACAGCACCACGGCTCCAGCGCCGGGCAAACCACTCGCGCAGCTCCTGTGGAGAGGGTAGCTCCCGCCGAGACGAAGCACTCGAAGGGCCCCCAGACCCAGCACAGCCAGAGGCCACACGAGCAGGCCCAGCACCCCCAGGCTCCGCACCCCCAAGCTCAGCACCACCAGGCTCAGCAACCTGAGACTCAGCACCCCCAGGCTCAGCACCCCTAGCAGCACCAGAGTCAACAGCTACCTCGACAGGCTCGTCTGCGTCTACGAGGGACACACCAGACGGGGCAGGACTCTGAGAGGGGAAAGGGTCTACCGCGGGGGGACCTGGCGCAAGGAAGAGCGGCGGCGGGGGGAGGGGCGCAGTGCGGTAGGGGAAGAGATGGTAGTAAGGAACCGACTCATCAAAGGTGACGTCCTAGGAGGACAGAACACGGCGCGAGGTGGGGTGGTAAAACTGCCAACCAGGCGTGTCAGGGGGGAAGCCAAGGAAGACGCAGGGAACAGCACGGGGGGACAGCTTGTCCACAGACAAGTCGCGGACAAACGCCCGAGATCCCCAGACACGAAACGCAGACGCATCGCCAACCTTCCTCGTCCACCGCAAGGTGGGGGAGGTCTCCGGCAAGGAGACCCGGGGCTGAAGGTTGATCTGATGCGCTGCATACCGAACCGCAAACGGCCACAGAAAATGGGGAGCAGCCGCATGGATCATGGACGTACGAGCGACGTCCATGACCATGCCAATGCGGCGCTCAGCAATCCTATTTTGCTATGGAGAGGCCGGAAGCGTGAACGTCTGGCGGATGCCCTGTGCACGAGAGAAGGCTCCTAAAAGGGCAGAGGAAAATTCCTCGCCTCTGTCAGAGTGCAGACGCAGAACAGGAAAGTCCGAGCCGAAACTCTCTCTAAGCTAGAGACGAGCAGCGCGGATCCAGCCGATCAACACCTCAGTGACCTCACCCTTGCTGCGCAAGGGGAAGACTGTGGTGTAACGCGAGTAATCGTCAACCACCAGCGGGAAGTAACGCTCGTGACCCTGTCCACGGACGCGGGCTGGGCCCGACACGTCCATGTGAAGCGTCTGCAGCGAAGCCTTTGTAGGAGGAAACTCGGAGGAGTGAGGAGCAGCACGCTGCCTCCCCTCAACGCAGGGAACGCAGGTAGGGGCAGGCCCCGGAGGAAGAGGAGGGAGGGACCGGGGGAGACCAGAGACAAGGACACGGGAGGCCATGCCTCGGAGACGAGGCAGCGTGGGGTGACCAAGCCGGTTGAGCTAGAGGAGAGTCTGGTGAGACAGGAGACGACACGAGCAGGGGGCAGACGCAGGACCAGACCTGGACGCCGTAGCAGACACCTGACCCGACGCAGCTACCTGACCAGACGCAGAGACCGGAGGAGACTCAGTAGTCAGTGTGTACAGGCTCGACCCCGGTCGACGGGTAAACGTGGCCAAGTGTCGGCCCGTCCGAGCACACGTACAGTGGGTCACTCGCTGACTCGCTGGAGTGAACTGGTCAACCCCCCCATCCTGTAGGTCAGCACCACTCACCAAGTTCGTAGAGAACGAGGGGATGTAGAGACCTGACAGGGTGCCAGAAGGGGCCGCCGAACACGGTAAGACAGTGGAGAAGTGGGCAAGGATAGGACCTCCAGAGGGGTCTGCCAGGGAGACCGCAACTGGCCGGCCAAGCGGCGTGAGTGTGGTGCGGTCTCGAAAGAAGGAGCAGGAAGCACCCGAGTCAAGGGTGAAGGTGTGGGAGGCCTGAGCCGACATGGTACCTGAGAGAGCAGACTCACCAGCACCTGGGGCAGCAGACTC